AACTAAACGAAACGGAGAGAATAGTAAATAATTTTTTGCTAAGTTATCTTTTCTAGTACGAATAATCAAATTACTTGGATTTATTTCCGTCTAGAAGAAAAGGTCACATTTGCTACAAGAATCTCGTGAGTTTCTTTAATAAGGTTTTGTTAAGTACCTTATTATACTCATAATTGCGACATTAATGCGTGTTTTTACTCTTATTTTACCCACATGTCTCTTCTTTACAAGCAAAACAAACTACCTTTTTCTGCACAAACAAACTCACTTTTAATTTAGTAAAAACAATTAACTTTTTTCACTCTATTTCCTTTTTTGATTCCACTTAGATGTGAAGGGAAAGTAATTAATTCTTCAAAGCAATGATGGAAAGACCCAATCATAACCAATCTTCAAAGTAATCTTATACTTATGTAAGCTTCGTTTTTATTTTTCTTATTATAACAATTAATTCAGTATATGAAATTTTCATACATAAGCTAAAAAGGAAATTAAAACACCAAAAAGAAAGAAGAATATACAACCTATAAAAGCGCGTAGGCCTTATGAAAACTACAGCTAGTTATTATTTAATTTTGTATTTTTATTTTCTTTTAATTTGTGGAAATGAGAGAATTCACAAAAACCAAAAAAGACAATGCGTCAGACCATAACCATGATACACCAACCAAGATTAATTATTTTAAACAAAATTTTCATGAAAAACTAGAAAGGAAAATTAGCATAATAAGTGTAACATTAACTAATATTAAATGAAAAATTAGTAGTACTAACTAATAAACAAATGTAAAAAAAGTATATGGGAAGAAATAATAAAATAAAAAGCAAAGCAAAGCGCCGAAGCCTATTTGTAAGGCTCTTGGATTCTTTCTTACTGATAGCAAATCGTGCTTGCCAGCTTTTTACTTGATAAATTCGTCTTATGGCTTAAACTGTATAAAATCTAGCTTAAACAAAATTTATCCTCAAAAGTTTATTAAATTAATAATAAAAATTCTCTGCATTTTTTTTATACAAATTTGGGTTTTTGCCATTTGGGTTTTCTTCTGTCTCATCTGGTTTTAGAGAGAGAGAGAAGTGAGAGGAGAAGGAGAAGGATGAAGAAGATGACTGAGAATCGGGTGGTTTTGGCTCTGCTTATACTCTGCATTGTTGGGTTTGAGCCAAGTTTCATCCATGGAGCTACAGATTCATCAGATAGTGAGTTTTTACTCTTTTTTTTCTTTTTTGCTTTCTTCGAAAATCTTCCTAAAAGTCTCGATCTTTTTTCAGGTTTTTAATCCATCATTTGTGTAGTTTTATCGATGATTCTGGGTTTATCTTTCATCTAAAACCTTTGATTTCTTCATAATCATCCACAAAACTCAAAACTTTTGTGTCATAATGTTCTTTTCTTCAAAATAGGTTTTGTTTCGACCAAATGAGTTTTTTTTTTTCTTTCCCAAATCTCAAACCTTTTTCCTTTTTTCACACACTTTATGTTTTGTTTTTCTTTCTGTTCCTTTCTTGTGTGTTTCTTCTCTTTTCTGAGTTTTTTTTTTTTTTTTGTTCAGCCTCAATCACTTCTCTAATTAGACCGGAAAATCTTTAAGTTGTTTAGTTCATAAAACCCCTAATGATTCTCAAATCTTGGATCTATTTCATGGAACCGACAAAAAAAATCAAGATGATTATGATGGTTTGGAATAGTTTCCTCATGGTGTCTGTTTCTTAATATGTGCAGCTTCAGCGTTAAACACCATGTTCAGCTCCATGAATTCTCCAGGACAGCTATCACAATGGACAACATCAGGAGGTGATCCTTGTGGCCAAAACTGGAAAGGCATAACTTGCTCTGGCTCAAGAGTTACTCAAATGTAATCACTTTTGTATCAAATTCAAGATCACTTTGTTTTGTTTCTTGTATCCATGCCTTAATACATTTATCTACTTGCAGAAAGTTGTCAGGTCTTGGACTTTCTGGATCACTTGGATATATGCTTGATAAATTGACTTCTGTTACTGAGTTGTATGATTCATCTTCCATGATACTCCAAAGTTTCTACTTTTGTGTATTTCGTGGTGTGGCTTATAACCGTGTATTGTTTTGGTGAAACCTGCAGTGATCTAAGCAACAATAACATTGGAGGCGATTTGCCGTATCAGCTTCCTCCAAACTTGGAACGATTGTATGTTTGATGATTCTCTCTGTTATATGTTCTACAAATTTCTCTGTTTGTTTTGCAAGTTGATAAATTTCTGATTTTGTCTAGGAATCTTGCTAATAACCAGTTCACTGGATCTGCTCAATATTCCATTTCTATGATGGCACCTCTTAAGTACCTGTAAGTTCTTGAATTATTTATTCTCAAACATCTCTTGGAGAATGATTGGTTATTTAAATGCTCCATTGGTTTTGTCCAGCAATCTTGCTCATAACCAGTTGAAGCAACTAGCTATTGACTTCACAAAACTCACCTCTCTCTCTATCTTGTAAGATCCTATTTTTTTCCCGGGTTAAAGAAATAAGTTAAAAAACTTGGTTAGTTAATAAACAAAGTTTTTGTTTGTGTTTCAGGGACCTCTCTTCCAATGCTTTTACGGGGTCCCTCCCAAACTCTTGTAGCTCTCTTACGAGTGCAAAATCAATGTAAGACTTCTTTAAGTAGGTCTCTATGTATTGATAAAAAAAACTCACTGTAAGTGACCCAGTTAATACTAACATTATGTTTTCTGAACTTTACAGTTATCTTCAGAACAATCAGTTCTCAGGCACCATTGATATCCTAGCCACTCTTCCTCTCGAAAATCTGTGGGTAACTTAAGCTTATCCAGTTTTAGGAATTTTTACCTGTAGACACCACTTGAATGTTGTTCTTGCTGAATGATTTCTCCTCAGGAATATTGCAAACAACCGATTCACAGGATGGATCCCATATTCTTTGAAAGGCATTAACTTGCAGTAAGTTTTTCATTACTTTCTTCGATTCGTGGATCTTTTCTCTAATCTCACTAATTTTTTCCTGAATGATTTTGGAAACAGAAAAGATGGTAATTTATTAAATTCTGGGCCTGCACCTCCACCACCTCCCGGTACACCTCCGATTAGTAAATCACCTACTCCGAAATCCGGGAACCGTGAAACTCGGTCCAATGGTGATTCCAGCAGTAGCAAAGACTCCAGCAAATCAGGGCTTGGAGCTGGTGGAATAGCAGGAATAGTCATTTCATTGTTGGTTGTAACAGCAGTCATAGCTTTCTTCTTGATCAAGAGAAAAAGATCAAAGCGGTCATCATCCACCGATATTGAAAAGACTGATAATAACATTAACCAACCCATTATACTAGCGTCAAATGACTTTCATCATGGTAATAACACGTTAAACCTTTTTTGTCAAAATGTAATATACATTAAAAAATCTTATGGTTGTCTAACTTTTGTAATCATCTGGTTGCAGAGAATAAGTCTGTACAGAATCCACCATTAGTTGAGACAAAGAAACTGGATACTTCATTGTCGATGAATCTACGTCCTCCACCAGCTGAGCGACATAAGTCGTTTGATGACGATGATTCAACAATGAGAAAACCCATTGTAGCAAAGAAAGCTGCTGTTGTTGTTCCTTCAAATGTGAATACGTATACGGTTGCAGATCTTCAAATAGCTACCAACAGTTTCAGCGTAGATAATCTTCTTGGTGAAGGGACATTTGGAAGAGTATACAGAGCTCAGTTTGAAGATGGAAAGGTATTTAATTTTATATAATTGTAAGAGCACAATGTCATAATATTCTGCTGCTGAGATATTGTTTTGATCTAATAGGTACTTGCTGTGAAGAAAATCGACTCATCTGCGCTTCCCACGGATACGGCTGATGATTTTACCGAAATAGTATCGAAAATAGCGCATTTGGATCACGAAAATGTCACAAAGCTTGATGGTTACTGTTCTGAACACGGGCAACACTTGGTGGTCTATGAGTTCCATAGAAACGGCTCATTGCATGACTTTTTACATCTTGCGGAAGAGGAAAGCAAACCGTTGATATGGAATCCCCGTGTCAAGATCGCTCTTGGCACTGCACGTGCATTGGAGTAAGTCTTTAAACATCTCAATCACATTATTGCTCGATATACCAGCAGGCAGCAGAGCCTCATGGAAAGTATTGTTGTTGTTGCAGGTACTTGCATGAAGTTTGCTCACCATCTATAGTCCACAAGAACATTAAATCAGCAAATATTTTACTTGACTCAGAGCTGAACCCGCACCTCTCAGACTCGGGTCTTGCTAGTTTCCTTCCCACTGCAAATGAGGTATATATAATGTTGTAGGCTTAACTTCTCAGAACTCTAATATATCTCCCTTTTGTTACTCCATTGAACCTGTTCCTTAGCATTCTATTATGTTGTGCAGCTACTGAACCAAAACGATGAAGGATACAGTGCACCAGAAACTTCAATGTCAGGCCAATACTCTTTAAAGAGCGATGTTTACAGTTTTGGAGTAGTGATGCTTGAGCTTTTAACCGGAAGAAAACCATTCGACAGGTACTATTACGATCCATATCCCTTGCCATCCTATTGTAAGAGAAAATATGTTCTGAACTAAAGCAAGTCTTGGTGATTGTTGTGTGTGACAGCTCAAGGTCAAGATCTGAACAGTCATTGGTAAGATGGGCAACACCTCAGCTTCACGACATTGATGCTTTGGGCAAAATGGTTGATCCAGCTCTCAAAGGGCTTTACCCGGTTAAATCGCTCTCCCGATTTGCAGATGTTATCGCCCTTTGCGTTCAGGTAATCATCTGTATAACAAAATGAATGAAATGTGATGATCTGAACAAATAAAATCTGAATGTAAATTGTTCTTTTAATCTGTTACAGCCAGAGCCAGAGTTTAGACCACCAATGTCTGAAGTGGTGCAGGCGTTGGTTGTATTGGTGCAGAGAGCTAACATGAGCAAGAGAACTGTCGGAGCCGGGTCCGGTAGCTCCGGCGTCAATGATTACATGTAAATTCTTTACCTGATGAGAACCAACAAAAGAAAACATAAAAATTTGCCCTTTTCTCTTGTCTTGTCGGATTCTGGGCCGGACGACAACAAGTGAAGTGACAGAGACAAGACAAAAAAAACAAAATCCTTTTTTTTTTTTGGTTTCATAAAACTGATGAGAGAATAACAGCACAACAAACCCTTTACGCATTGTACACTCCCATGTTTCTTTGTAATTTGTTCCCAATTTGTAGCTTTTTTAGATTCCGACAACATGAACAAAACCATCCCCTTTTGTGAGTTCCGATCAAAGACGGTATTTTTCCATTGTAATCTTTTATTTTGTTTGAATAAATTTCATGTTAATAAATTGGAATATGATCGATTTCAAGTTGTGTGCTGCTTCTGAATTGACTGAAGGCATGTTTTATAGCGATCTTGGATTTTCACCGGCATTGAAGGCGACGACGGAACCGTAAACCAACATAAATATTAGAAACCCGACCCGAAACACTTCAGTGCAACGTGGATATGTCACGTGGACGCTTTTATGACACGTGGCAGACATTCGACTATAGTAATGCACACCTCACGTCTGAATCAAACCCATATAATATACACGAATTCTTGAAACATTAAGCAAAGAAAAAGGTTGAGGGGGGAAATCACAAGAATGATGATCGGAAAATTGTGTAGATCTGTGGGAACCGTCGGAAAGTGTGATGGTCGGCATTATGGCGTGAGGACGATGGTTGGAAAAGCCTCGAACCGAGCTGGTGTTCATGGTTCGAAACTTCCCAACGCTAAAGCACTTGACAATGTTAGTCAATAATTAGTTGAGATTTCATAATTTTCATTTTTGTTTTGTTTGTTACTAAGCTATCTTTCATAGTAATTATGAGTTATATGAGATCAAATTATTTTAATGCGTAGGAGGAAGAGATCAGGGAGAGGATTAGTAAAGGGAGTGAAGACAAAGAACACAAAAGAAGAGAGGTTGAGAAAAAAGTTGAAGGCTCTCGGAGAGGATCTAACGGCGAAGATGCATCTTCCGACCGGTGATGATGGTCATGGTTTTTATTTCCTGCTTAATCTCTATAATTTTACAATACGCATTCTAGTAATCTTTTTTTTTTTTTGGTATGAAAAGGGAGTCTAGCTCCCATTTATTAAAAAAAAAAAAAAAAAAAAACAAACTACGAGCGAACTCGCCTTGGGCGCGCAGACCCAATAACGTCGTCGCTAAGTAGCGCAACAACAGCATCCGGAACAACAATACAAGTTGTTTGCCTATTGGTTTTCATTCTTGCATTCTAGTAATCTTTGTTTCTTCGAATCTTATTTTGGCTAAGTTTACTACGATTTTTCTAATTATGTGGTCTCGAATAAAAGAAAAATATAATATATGCATTTATCGTGACTTAAAAAGCCCAAAGAGTAAAGGCCCATTAAGTCTGGCTTATCCATCTCCCTCTTCTTCTCTGTCTCGCTCGTCTCTACAATCACAATCACAGTCACAGAGGATTACTGACTGTAATTGTTCTGGTCGTGGCACAGAGAGGATAGTTTGAATTTTCGCCTTCTCTCGCTCCTGAGCTGAAGAATCTCCAATGGCTTCTTTAGGTACGTTGACATTCTTATTTAGAACATTTTGGATAATTGGTTCGAATTCTTACCCTTGATGATCATGATTCAAAAAACATTCAGATGTTGTCACTACACAAGCTTATCTTACTCCATTGAGGTCTCAAACTATCAACCATGCTAAATTCTTACAAATCCCATGGAGACAATTTGTCTTCAAAAAGCCTTTAGGTCTCTGTAAATCCACCAAACTCGACGAAGCCGTGACCTTGATAGAGAAGTCATCAACCTCACCGTCCAATCTCTCTACTCCCGAAGCTTACACAGACCTACTTCATGCTTGCATCTCCGCTAAATCGCTTCACCATGGTATAAAAATCTGTTCTTTGGTTCTCAACAATCCTAGTCTCCGTCACGATCCCAAATTGCTTAGCAAGCTCATTACCCTTTTCTCGGTTTGTCGCCGATTGGATCTCGCTCGGAAAATCTTCGACGATGTCACTGATTCGAGTCTACTTACTGAGAAAGTCTGGGCAGCGATGGCGATTGGGTATTCTAGAAACGGGTCACCAAGAGATGCTTTGATCGTGTATGTAGATATGTTGTGTAGTTTCATTGAGCCTGGGAATTTTTCGATATCTGTAGCGTTGAAAGCGTGCGTGGATTTGAAAGATCTTCGGGTTGGTAGAGGAATCCATGGCCAGATTGTGAAACGTAAGGAGAAGGTTGATCAAGTGGTGTATAATGTGCTCTTGAAGCTTTACATGGAACGTGGCTCATTTGATGATGCACGTAAGGTGTTCGATGGAATGTCTGAGAGAAATATTGTTACTTGGAATTCTTTAATTTCGATACTCAGCAAGAAAGTTCGGGTTCATGAGATGTTTAATTTGTTCAGAAAGATGCAGGAAGAGATGATTGGGTTTAGTTGGGCGACTTTGACGACAATATTACCCGCTTGTTCACGTGTCGCTGCTCTTATCACTGGGAAAGAGATTCATGCGCAGATTCTGAAATCGAAAGAGAAACCTGATGTTCCGTTGCTTAATTCATTGATGGATATGTATGGGAAATGTGGAGATGTTGAGTATTCTCGGAGAGTCTTTGATGGGATGTTAACTAAGGATTTGACTACATGGAACACGATTCTAAACTGTTACGCAATCAACGGAAATATCGAAGAAGTGATAAATCTGTTTGAATGGATGATAGAGTCAGGCGTCGCACCAGATGGGATTACCTTTGTTGCTTTGTTATCCGGGTGTAGCGATACAGGGCTAACGGAATACGGTATAAGTTTGTTTGAACGCATGAAAACTGAATTCAGAGTTTCACCGGCCTTGGAACATTATGCTTGTTTGGTTGACATCTTGGGCCGAGCTGGTAAGATCGAAGAAGCAGTCAAGGTAATAGAAACAATGCCATTTAAGCCAAGTGCATCCATTTGGGGATCACTGCTCAACTCTTGCAGGCTCCATGGGAATGTTTCAGTGGGGGAGATTGCAGCAAAAGAGTTGTTTGTTCTTGAACCTCATAATCCAGGGAACTATGTTATGGCTTCGAACATATATAGCTGAAGCAAAGATGTGGGACAATGTCGATAAGATTCGAGAGATGATGAAACAAAGAGGGATCAAAAAGGAAGCTGGTTGCAGTTGGGTACAGGTTAAAGACAAGATTCAAATCTTTGTCGCAGGAGGTGGTTACGAGTTTCGTAATTCGGATGAGTATAAGAAAGTATGGACAGAACTACAGGAAGCAATTGAAAAATCCGGTTATTCTCCTGATACGAGCGTGGTGCTTCATGATGTTGATGAAGAAACTAAGGCAAATTGGGTTTGTGGACACAGCGAAAGACTCGCGGCAACCTACTCCCTAATTCACACAGGTGAAGGGGTTCCAGTTAGGGTTACCAAGAATCTCAGAGTATGTGCAGACTGCCATTCATGGATGAAGATTGTATCGCAAGTAACTGGGAGAGTTATAGTCCTCAGAGACACCAAACGATTCCACCATTTCGTTGCCGGCATTTGCTCATGTAAAGACTACTGGTGACTGGTGAGGTATTATTCTATGTGCAACAAGTGAGTAGTAGAAGACAAAGCCAGACTTTTGGGGAACTGTAATCACTGATTTCACGCTGATTGCGTCGACAAGTGGCTTTGAAGCAAGCAAGGTTGGTTCGGTGCAGCCAGGAAGGAGACCAGAACTTGGCGGGGACGAGGGTTTTACTTTTACTACAGACGTGGCCGTTACTCAAGACGCTGTTGTGGATTGTGGTAGATATTCTGGCAAACCTTGAAATTGGATCACCTAGGCCCATTATGGTAGCTAATTAACTAGCCCAATGAGCCCTAGTTCATCAATATGCAAGTGATTGATTTTGTCAACAAATCAAACTAAAGATAGTATTAAGAAAAAAATGATGAAAAACAAAATAATCAAGACAGAAGATTTGGATCGAGAAAAGTTCGTCAGCTTTACAATCTTTTAATCACTGACAAAATCAGCACGTGATCAGAAATTCGAATCTACAATCATGTAAACGGAAATTATTGTTATTCCCAATTGTAATTGAGATGGCTTTTGTTACGTTAATAGTTATTACGCAAAAAAAAAAAAAAAAAAAGCTGCCTTCACAATGTCGTGACTTATATTAGGATTGTAATTTGTAAATTTTGTCATTGTTATCTATAAATCAGTTACACAGAAAAAAGGCAACTATAAAAAAAATGGAAATTATTATTCCCAATTACAAGTGAGATGGGTTTTTGTTACGTTATTATAAGGGTTAAGTTGGAAATCAATACGTTTTTCAAACATAATTAGAAAAGTGATACGGTTACTATTTACAATGGGAAAAGCACCCAGTTTTCACTGTACACTACTGTTTATATGACTTCCAAACTCTCATCAAACCATTTTATTTACAAGCATGCCATCCAAATTAAAATAAATTAATTTTCTCTTTTTTTTACACATTTCGTCTGATCTCTTTAATCTTCTCTCAATTTTATTTTTTCATTTTCAAAATCATCAAAACCCTAAGCGTCGAATTCAATTTGCTTCCACAGAACAATAGATTTTCAAAATCACATATCTATATCGCTTCTTCAATGGCGTCCAAAATAGTGGCTGCTAAAGATATCATCACTTTACACGGATCTGCTGCCATCGTCAGCGAATTCTTCTTTGTGTATTTTCAATTTCTCACGGATATTATCACTTTCCGATTCTGTGATTTTTTCAGTGAAACAACAAATCTCCGGCGAAATCATAAAACAAATCTCCGGCGAAATCATAAAACAAATCTCCGGCGAAATCATCATCATCTCCGGCGATGAAGACGTCGGCTCCACGAGAATCTTGAGCGTTGAACAACCACCACCACATCTTATAATGGCAAATGCGATCACATTCTTCGAGCTCAACACCGGCGTTAAGTTCCCGTCGGTGGGTCTTGGAACATGGCAAGCTTCTCCTGGCCTCATCGGCGATGCCGTAGCCGCCGCTGTTAAGGTTCGCCGATGATTCCATACTCTGTTTCAATTAATTTTTTTTTGGTTATGCTTCAACTAGTATCACAGCCCAAGAAATCTCCTTCTTGCGATGGTATTTTCTTGGAACGATCAATCTCTTATGTCTTATGAAAATTGAAATGGGTCTTGTTTTTATTTGATTGTTTGATAAACAAAAAAGTTGGCTTTTTTCTCTATTAAATCTGATATCTGATTTGGGTTTTCTCTGTTATTCTCCTGATCTTTTTTTTCTCTAATTTGATGTTTTGTTTCCATGAAAAGTTTCAATCTTTTTGTAACAAAAACAAATATATATATATATATATATATTGTGACTTGCTCTGTTTTGGTTGTATAATTTGGACTTTGATTGTAACTTGGAAGTGGAAGACTCATAGATCTGAAGACATAAACAATGACAAAAACATGTGATTGTCCCTTTTCTTATGTAAAGTGTTCAACTTTGATTCGGCCATATGTACCTTCTATGCCCTACAATCTAGTCAACATAGTCAGAATTAAATGTCAAAACTATATGTTGCTTGTGTGTTTTGTTGTATTAGAAAAGATTTAGTAAGTGAATTGAGAAAAATGAAGAGAGCTTAAGGAGTATGGAAAATGTTGCAGGTGGGTGAAGTGGGAGAGCTATCAGAGATATTCCAATGGAAAGGAGAAGTGGCAAGAGGATGTCCAGATTGGTAAGAAGAAGAGAAATTGCATCTTGGAAAAAATAGATAAACAAGATTTTAAGAGATTTTGTCCATTTCTTTATAGAATCCAAAAACCAAGTTTTGTGGGTTTTCTAACAATTCACGTCAAACTGTTTTTAAAATTTTTTTTTAATTATTTTAAATATGTTATTTCACCATTCACCTATTCATTTTAATCACAAAATATAAACCAAAAATTAAAATAAATAACTTAAAAACGTTTTAAAATTGATATTATGTAAAAAACTATAAACTAAACAAATTACCATTCAAGATTTTACAAAAACTAAAATCTACACCAAAAAAACAAAAATTACAAAAATCAAAAACCAAAAACCAAAATCCAAAAACTAGAAACTAAAAACCAATAAAAACTATCAAACATTGTCAAATCCTTCTGTACAGATGTATCCTTCTGTACAGATGATTCCTTCTGTACAGATGTATCCTTCTGTACAGATATTTTCTTCTGTAAAGATATTCTTCTGTACAGATATTCTTTTGTACAGTGGTTTATAATTGTACAGATATTATTTTTGTAAAGTGGTCTCTAAAATATAAATTTTAAAAATCATCAAACAAAATGTATATCAAATGATAGAAAGAAAAACATAGATTTTTATGTATATGATAAATTGTAGAGAGAAAAAAACCATTAACGAGCATTTTAATTATTAGACTTGAAGAGATGAAATATAAGATGTATCCTTCTGTACATACATTCTTTTGTACAGATGCATCCTTCTGTACAGATATTCTTTTGTACAGTGGTGTTTATCTGTACAGTGGTTTAGATCTGTACAGTGGTTTAGATCTGTACAGTGGTTTACATCTGTACTGTGGTCTGTAATATAAATTTAAAAATCATCAAACAAAATGCATATCAAATGATAGAGAAAAAAACATAGATTTTTATGTATATGATCTATTTTACAAAAATAAAATTTAGGAACAAGCATTTTAATTATTAAACTTTGAAGGAATGTAATGTAATAAAAAAAGAAAAAAAAATCTTTTTAAACAGCCTGACCCACGTTTGTCACACCCACGTTTCTTTTTCTCAGAGACAAACAAAAGCCCTTTTTGATCTTTTTTAAAATCCACTAATATTTCTATCTCACAATTCTATATCTCACAAACTGGTCCCACCGTACTACTTCTACAATTATGAATAGTAACCGTACTACTTCTACAATTATGTTTTAGAAACGTACTAGTTTCCAAACAAACCCTTATTATAAATACCTAAACAAATTAATTAGGATTGGAAGCTAAGAGCATTTTAATTATTAAACTTTGAAGGAATGTAATGTAATAAAAAAAGAAAAAAAAATCTTTTTAAACAGCCTGACCCACGTTTGTCACACCCACGTTTCTTTTTCTCAGAGACAAACAAAAGCCCTTTTTGATCTTTTCTAAAATCCACTAATATTTCTATCTCACAATTCTATATCTCACAAACTGGTCCCACCGTACTACTTCTACAATTATGAATAGTAACCGTACTACTTCTACAATTATGTTTTAGAAACGTACTAGTTTCCAAACAAACCCTTATTATAAATACCTAAACAAATTAATTAGGATTGGAAGCTAAGAGCTTTTTCTACGTACGAACTGTGTTTTTTGTTCCTTGCTTTCTCTTTACAGAGATTTTGACCTTCTTCAATAGGTTTTATAGAAGATGAAAGAATCAGATGCCGTCAATCTAATACATCTCGGAATAAATATTGGCTTCGCTTTGTTTTTCTTTAGGATTTCGTCCGTGGTAGTGAGTTGTCTTATTAAATGTTATAGTTATACTCATGATGATGATCATCATGATCCTGATCATGACAACAACAACAACGATGATCATGTCAGCATCACCATCAGGCAATGTGTAGGAATAAAGCCGTATGTTCTCCGATCGATCCCTATCATAGACTTCAACTCCAAAGACTTCAAAGACGACGTCCTCGAATGCGTCGTTTGTCTCTCGGAGCTAGCCGACAGAGACAAAGCTAGGGTTTTGCCGAGCTGCGATCACTTGTTTCACGTTGAATGTATCGACTCGTGGCTTCAATCAAACTCCACTTGTCCTATATGTAGAAAGAGAGTTTGTTTGAAGCAGTCACGAATGTGACCGGAACTTGGCGGCGGCGACCAGAGTTTGACCCAAAATCACGACCCGACATCAGAACATCATGATGAGTTTCCGACAGGTGTTCCGACGAACACAGACACGCGATTATTGAAGATGGTGGTTGCGGCGAAGTAAACGAAGGCCAACCAGATTTAACGGCGGTTGTGATAGACATTCCGGCGAAAGAGATAAATCAGGCCCATGTTAGTCATTTTAGGCCCATTATATGTGAAGATACTATACTGTCCATGTATTTAACTAGTAAGCTACCGTGACTTTTTTTTTGTGCGCAAATTTTATGAATCTTAAGATTCTTCTTCACTATAGTATTTTTTATTTTTAACGTCAAAGTCTTAACTATATAGTCCAAACGTGATATTTCAACTTGCAAGAAAGATACGAATGAATGATACTGTGAATGTCGCGGTGAATGTTTTTTTTTGTTGATGATATAACTATTTTTGTAGTAACTTTTCTTAGAAACAATTACATTTCCCAACGCTCTCTACTGACACAATTTAAATAGATAAACTGTGTATGTGCAGCAGCACGTTCAAAGCGTGACGACAAACAAATCTATCAACCAAACAATGTGACCTCTATAAAGAATAAATAATTGGCAGACTCGTAATTGTTGGAAGGTTGGAATAGGATTAGAGGTTTTATTGCAACAGACAAATTTTCATAAAAGTAGTGTGGTAATAGGTATCTTCATAAAATTAATTGTGGGAATGTAAATTTTGTTTTCTACTATTATTCACTAAATATTAAATGCTAAAACAACTTGATACATCAAAGGATTTATTTTCATTATTGCAAAAATGTTTAAACTGCCCTCAAATTTTGAGAAGTCTTAATCTAGCTTTGGAAAAATAAACGCCCTCACTGTAATTAACTTAAATACGAATTATGATATTATTTGTAAAGTTAAGGTATTTGATCATGATAGTTTCTCTATTTTTACTTTTTTTTTTTTTAAAAGTCGAGAGTATAAATTAGTATCACTGCATCGGATGCCCTGTATTGCAACTTGTTGATGGAAAAGATTATGCATGTTGTTGCTGTCAACAAAAGAGATTATGCAAGTTGTTATGTTTTATTTCTTTTAATATACTCGTTACGATTTATCACTATTTTTATTGAAAAAAAGTTCCCAGGCTTAAATTTAGTTACTTTAGATAATGAAAGATTAATGATAAAGAAGGAATCAAAATATTCACATGATTATAACATCAACTTTTTATATATATAAAAGAGTAGAAAAGATCGCCAAAAAAAATGAGAAAATTAAAAAGAAAGCATGTGATGATTACGAGTTTACTGTATGCTTTTCTAAACTAGGGAACAAAAACTTCATTCATAAATATCTATAGCATTTTATCCTATATACAATTCATAATGCTATAGTTTCTTTGTACCAAAGACCCAAGAAAAATAGTCATTCTCCTGTATCCGATGCTTGGATTTAGGATACAATCTATTCCTTCCGTTTCGTTTTAGTTGTCATTTAAGGTTTTTTTACACAAATTAAGAAAGCATTAAATTTTCTGTTTTACTCTTTATTAATATATTTTATAAAAAATTTCATTGGCCACAACATTAAAACAATAGGGATAATACTGAAATTTTTACCAAACATTTGCATTAAAAACCTAAAACGACAACTAATACGAAACAAAATTTAAGTTCTAAAACGACAACTAAAACGAAACGGAAGGAGTATCTCTTAATAAAGTTTTTCTAGAATTGGTCAATTAAACTACCGACATTGAAATAAACATTTCTTTATATATGACATCTACTTAAAACTATGTTTGAAGAAAATATGAGACTATGTTTATAATCTTAGTAAACCTACCAGAGTACCAGGTATCCGATATGAACTTACTTTCATGTTATGTTTAGTGAAATCAGACAATTGGTCTTTATTCTTTAGAGATGTTATTATAAGAGAACCAAAATTTATCAAGGTTAACAAACAATCAGATTAGAAGATTAAATTACTGTACTTTTATACCATTCAATTACTGTACATTTACTCTAACTTTTTTACTTACAAATTTTGCCAATCAGATCTAAAGAGAAAGCTAGAGTATGCGTTATAGCAACAAAAACTTGTATTTAAATTTTATTTTCATCGAATTGCTGGCATAGCTTTATTCAAAAAAATAGTAGATGGACCCATGACAGGCTTGCAGCCTAGGCCACAGCCATCGGCCTAAATATATATTTATAATTTCATCAATAATTTCGGTGCCACTAAAATCTGATTATTTACATAATTAATCGCTATAACACTTTTGCTTTGCTTTAATTACACATGTATACTATAATGTTCTGCCATAATATTTATAGAAACGTCAATTAATTCCTTTTATGTAATGATTAGACGTTCCAAGATCCATCATCATTTACCGTTGATAGGTAAAAACAGTCCTTTACCGCCATAGTTTAGTATAATGGCCGTTTTTTAAAAGTATTGTTGTTAGATACATAAATCAGCATTCTATACTTGTATGTAAATTATAGATGACAAAAAAAAATCAACTCTATACCTAATGGTTTTTTTAATCTAAGTACTGAAGATTTATACTTTTAAGTAAGATAGAACTAATATAATATTTAACTCTTCAAAGACACAAATGTTATCAAATCAAAATTGAAATAACTAGTATTTCTGAAAACGACGGTCGAGTTACACACCAATTGAATCCAAAGTATAGTTTTTGTAACACTTTGAGATTTTCAAATTGCTTGAATGACGAAACGATTATTAAAATCACAAAAGAAGAATATGCTTTTTTCGTAAACAAGAAAAAGGTATATTATTGTCGGTTACTGATAATATAATCCTAGTTTCCTAATGTTATGAGGATAATCGTGGACGAGACTGGTGAGTTCATCACCCGCAATGCAAAACAACGAATAATTAGGTAACAACTGTATGAGAAAAATCATCAATATCAAATACAAAATTTGGGAAAACGACAATAGATTCCTGTCGAATTTCCGATAATATTTTTTTTGCTAATCAATTTCCGATAATATGAATAATATTCTGATTAAAACATAAAACGAAAACTTGAGGGAAAAAAAAATCATAAAACGAAAACCTTATCTTTATGAGCGAGGCTGCAGCTTATATAACCCAGAGGAACTTTTTTTGTTTTTCTGAAAATTCCACTCAAATAATAGAGTGAAGAAAAGTAAAACCAGAAAAAGCCATTTTAATAGTATTGTGTTTGATTTCAATTTCATCAATATAGTTATTATATAAACACCCACTCTTCACGAGTACATTCATCATCATCACTCACCAGTGTCAAACAATGGCACCATCAATGAAAGAAATCTTTTCCAATAATTTCAAGAAAAACAAGAAACTTGTTTTGCTATCCTCCGCCGTAGCTTTGCTCCTCGTAGCCGCCGTCGCCGGATTCTCCGCCGGAGCTTCAAAATCCAACGAAAAACGAACTCTATCCCCGTCGTCTCACGCCGTGCTAAGATCCTCCTGCAGCTCCACGCGTTACCCTGAGCTCTGTATCTCCGCCGTGGCAAATACCGGCGGCGTCGAGATAACGTCGCAAAAAGACGTCATCGAGGCATCGCTGAACCTAACAATAATCGCCGTGGAGCACAATTACTTCAACGTGAAGAAGCTGATCAAGAAGAGGAAAGGACTAACGCCGCGGGAGAAGACGGCGCTTCATGACTGTTTGGAGACTATTGATGAGACGCTGGACGAGCTCCATGAAACGGTGGAAGATCTACATTTGTATCCAGCCAGAAAAACTCTCCGGGAACACGCCGGAGATCTCAAAACCCTAATTAGCTCCGCCATTACCAACCAGGAGACTTGTCTCGACGGCTTCTCTCATGATGACGCCGATAAGCAAGTTCGTAAAGCCTTGTTGAAGGGTCAGGTACGTAAATTTAAATATCGCAAATGTATACAAAATGCATTTGTTTTTAAATAGACAAATTGCATTTTGTCTATGTTCATTAAATTTTATAGAATAGATAATGGCTCAACATAAATCACTAGTTTTGAAAATGTAATAGTGGGAAAAATTATATAGAGTTACTAGAAAACTAGATGTATTATACATCACATCATAACTATCAAAGAAACAAAAAACTTCATACATCACATCACATCTCAGTGACAATTTTTAGAGCTTGTTTATTCTTTACATTGAGATATTGTTAGCTAGTGCTGGTCCATACATACGAATAGTAGCTATCTATTGTTGATACTTGTAAATATATCAACTTGTTAGTAACACTTTTTTTTGAAAATATATTGCTTTATAACGAAATGATTAAATGTAGATACACGTAGAGCACATGTGCAGCAACGCTCTAGCAATGATCAAGAACATGACTGATACTGACATAGCCAACTTCGAGCAAAAAGCTAAAATAACCTCAAACAACCGTAAGCTCAAGGAGGAGAATCAGGAAACTACGGTGGCAGATATCGCCGGAGCCGGAGAACTAGACGCGGAGGGATGGCCAACTTGGTTATCCGCTGGAGATAGGAGGCTTCTTCAGGGTTCGAGTGTGAAAGCCGACGCCACCGTGGCAGCTGACGGTAGCGGTACATTTAAGACGGTGGCTGCTGCTGTTGCGGCGGCCCCGGAAAATAGTAACAAGAGGTATGTGATACATATTAAAGCCGGGGTTTATAGAGAGAATGTGGAGGTTGCAAAGAAGAAAAAGAATATAATGTTTATGGGAGATGGTCGGACGAGAACTATTATCACCGGAAGTCGAAACGTCGTCGACGGTAGCACCACTTTCCACTCCGCCACCGTTGGTAAGCAAATTTAATTATTAACTTTTTGAAAAAGATAAAAAGCAATTTTGCACGATTGTGGTCCTTTATTTGGTGGAAAAATCTTTACTCTTTTCATGCACATTAAATATACACATGTAGATTCTTGTCTTAGTACCCCCACTACAACAGATATTCGCGCACATGTAGCCTAGTAGTAAATAACGATATATAATTAAATGTGAATTTGAATTTACTAAATTGAACAAAATACTTAGTTAGATCTGAGTCATGTAAGAGTCTCTATCCATTATTTTCTTGGCTTTATTCATATGCTTTTCCAAGTCACGTTATGTGGATTGGTTTTATGGCTCTTCCACTAGTGAAGAGAGCCGTTAGTTTTATGGAGTACCTTTTTTCTTTCTTATCTTTTTTGTTTTATTGTTGTTAACTTTTATATCAACTTTCCCCTTAATTAAATTTGTATCATCATTTCATTGCACATTTGGTACCATTCGAATTCCCTTTTCCATTTACTATACAAAATATTAATATTTGTATGTTTTAAAGTTCGTTAAACTAAAGTGATAATTTCTAGCAAAACAAGTCTTGTCTTAATCTTTTTAGCTAATGATGCCGTTAATTAACCGTTGTTTCTTTATGTGGGGCCCAGCTGCTGTCGGCGAGAGATTCTTAGCTCGTGACATCACTTTCCAAAACACGGCGGGTCCGTCGAAGCACCAAGCAGTGGCTCTCCGTGTGGGTTCTGATTTCTCCGCCTTCTACAATTGCGACATGTTGGCTTATCAAGACACTCTTTACGTCCACTCTAACCGTCAATTCTTCATCAAGTGTATCATCGCCGGAACCGTCGACTTCATCTTCGGGAACGCCGCCGTCGTGCTCCAAGACTGTGACATTCACGCTCGCCGCCCCAACTCCGGCCAGAAAAACATGGTCACAGCTCAGGGACGAACCGATCCGAACCAGAACACAGGGATCGTTATCCAGAAATGTAGGATCGGTGCCACGTCGGATTTACAGTCGGTGAAAGGTAGTTTCCCTACGTACCTTGGTCGGCCGTGGAAAGAGTATTCACAAACGGTGATAATGCAGTCGGCTATCTCCGACGTGATCCGTCCCGAAGGGTGGTCTGAGTGGACCGGGACTTTTGCGTTGAACACTCTGACTTATAGAGAGTATGCGAATACAGGAGCAGGGGCTGGAACTGCAAATAGAGTGAAGTGGGGGGGCTTTAAGGTAATTACGGCTGCTGCTGAAGCTCAAAAATATACGGCTGGTCAGTTTATTGGTGGTGGAGGCTGGTTATCGTCGACCGGTTTCCCCTTCTCGCTCGGTCTTTGAGAGATTGTTGTTGTGTAATGTGTTCCTACTTATTGTTGGGCTACTAAAATTACTGATTATATTGTATGAATCAAATCGTGTTGTTCGCTTTGTTTTTTTTTGGGTTGTGTATTTCTCTATATCGTAGTATTAGAAACTAGATGAAATAACGAGGATTTTTTCGCCTTGAGATTGAGAATATGAATTTGGGGAGGAGGATATTGCCTATCTGATGATGATTGACGATGAAATGATGTCATAATAAAAAAACAAAACAAATACATGTATTTCTATGTAACTTCTCTTTCTTTTTGTTGTCAACGAAATTTATGTCCATATATAAGAAAAAAATATATTTTGATATGCA